TATATAGAGAGCTATTTTTCAAAGTCGCAATATTTGAACTAAGGGTGTTTTACTGTTAACCAATATCTTGCACTGGTGCTTCTAGATTGAAAATAATTCATATTAGTAAATAACAGTTACTCCTGAAATTAATATCCCAGTTTTTTTGTGTACAAGACGTCATCCCTTTATACCATTTAAAATAAAGCTCCCTGTTGCAGCTATTTATAAGGAGTCGGCCCTATGTATGAAAAAGGAAAAGTTAATGTTGATAATTATGATTTAGGTTTTTGGTTGATATCTGATACGTAAAAGACTGTTTTTGTCCCATTCGGAAAACTGTTTTTAACAGTTATTACTTATTACTATTGCGAAAGTTGTGAACAGACCGGAAGTGGTGTAAATCTTTAACGTACACGAAAATTGAAAACCGGGCCCAATTATGTCAATTCCCAACCGATTTTCGAAAAAGTTATATTTTTGTACAGCTGGGGATATTGCGGATGCGATAACGGCCGAATTGAGATACCATGTCGTTTTAATTTTTTCTTCAAAATTTCAAAATTTACTAAAATTGTTATTTCTTGGAATTTTGAGTTTTCGATTACATATTTGGATTGCCGGCGTCTGTTCGATTCTACCGATCTAGGATTATCATGATGCGAATTGTTCAACTATATTTTTCAATTCCCTTCTCTATCGTAATGTGCATACAAAGAACGTGTGGTGGGAATAGTCCTTTGTCATGCATCTGGTGACGGTGTGACGCCTTGGTTACGGTGAAAGTCTCCAGTCTTGCAAGCAAGTCTAGTTATTATTATATTTTTTTTTTTGGGGGGGGGGGGAGAGTTTAGTCAGAAGTCGCAACAAAAACTGTGCATGGTGCAAACATTCAGCCAACGTCGATACTGTTGGCCTCCGTGCCACTAAATATTAAACATAAATTGGGTCTTGTTTGACAAACAGGAAGTGTTTTACGGATGGCACAAAAAATAATCTCAAGATTGCCCATATCTCGGTTATTTCTCAACGGATCGTCTTTGGGTTTTGATTTTTTCGATTCTTTGGACGAATCCTCCCATATGGGCTCTGACTGACAGTTTTTCGAAATTCGGAAGTTCGCTCGATTATATTTAGCATCAAAGATTTGCGAAAAGTTTTCTTCATCATGTTTTCGACATTCAAGATCGCGTATCTCCGTCACTATTTGAGGTATCAAGTTGAAACGTGGCAGGAATATGGAACACAGCGAGGCTTTCACAATAGCATATTCATTTTTTGTGACGGCATCCAGAAACTTTCGGATTTTTCCGAGTCCTTCCGATTTTTCCCGAACATGAATAGTTCTCTCCATTTTAAAAATAGACCAAAAATGACATATGATAGGCTAGTGTTAACCCCAGAAAATATCTTTCATTTTCAGTGACCTTGTTTCATAACATTTTCAACAGTTTGGCTGCCATATTGGATTTTACTTAAAAAAACCTTCAAATCGATATTTAGCCGCCATTTTAATTCCGATTTTCGAAAACTTTTTTTGTATTGAACCTACTCTAAATGGCAACAATTCTTAGGAAGCCGATTTTTGAATTTCGATTTTGTTTACCTCCGATTTCACTTTGAAGTTTGTTCGACTTTTCACCATCTAAATGGTGACCTAATCTTTCCATGACCCTTGACCTTTTCATATATGATGACCCTCATGTCTACTAACAATTAATATCAAAATGTTCGATTTCACTAAGAGTTCTAAATTGCAGGTTTTTCCACTTTAATAGTTATTGGATTTTACTATACACAGTAATGCATGTTGTAACTTGTTTGTTGACGTGACAAGGCGTGACCTGACATACCGACACACCTCAGTACCCTTTAGAGTTCTAATTTTAATTCGTTTGCAGCCATTGAATTCCAACAATAACCTAGACCGGGGGATGCCATGCCCGTTTGTGCCAGCTCTAAAATCGTTGTCAACAAAGCACACAGAGCAATTTAAGAAAAAACCAAACGTACAATTGAACGGAAAGCTAACTCCTCGAAACGATCTGAAAAGTTTGACATTCGAAAAGATTATTCATTGTGCTTTATTTAATGAACAATCTCACCCAAATTCCATTGAGAACTTGTTTCGCGTTCACAAGATTTCATATATTTGGACGTAAAGAGGGGTACCTCTGTGCTGAAAAAGTATTGAATTTAGATTACGTTCTACTTCCTTATCACCCAATGAACAATCCACGCGAATTGGAAAAAAAGATGGGAAGAACTCTGAACAAAAAACTACCCACAAAATATTGTTGCCGGGGGGGGGGGGGGGGTGAAGGTGACGACAGTTTTAGCCAAGTATTTTAAAAATAAAGTCTAAAAAAACATTAGTGAGGCTAATAAAAAATTAAATTACCAGTGAACAAAAAACAATAAATATCGGAATACAAATATTCGATGTAACTATGTGAACTTCCAAGAAAAGGGTCATGCAAAAGTTCTAGAATGGGTATGTATAACCTGCAACAGATGGGACAGAAGTTTGGATCTTGATTTCTCAGAGGGAAGCATCTGATTGCTTATATGCCAAAAATGGATAGTGGGTGCGAAACTTTAGTGTCTGAATTCCGGTGTGGAAGTTTTTGCATCCAATGTGATAATACTGTATCCTAAAATAACATAACATCGCTTATTTCTTGAAAAACTTATGTAACTAACACAATTTTAGTTGTATTTTTGTGTTTGAGTGGCCCACAAAGCGAATATCTTTGTTGTTCTTTTGCGATTATTTACCGAGGATATTGATTATGAAGATAATAGCCTTCACTTTAGCAACAAAAAAGAACAAGAAAATGATGAACAAGAAAATTAAAGACTGCCTACGAATATCACGCGCGTTTATTTATAAAAAATATATATTTATTTTCCAGCCTAAAACATAATTAATCTTTCCGAAAGAATTTTAATTATAGAAGTTTTTACATACCCACTTGCTTAAAGTACATTAAATTGGTATTATAATTCACGAATCTTTGCAGAATGAAATATAAAACTAATGAAATTGATGGATTTTATACGATTACTTCGGCGATCGACTATATACAGTTGCATTATTGGTTGTTGTAGTTCTGTTGTAGTTTTGATGAAGGGTGCAATGCGACAGAAGGCCAAACATTTTCTTCGATTAGACATTTTAAAAATAAGGTCAGATAGGTTTTCATAAATACTAATTTTGTCGATTATAGCAAAAAAAAAAATCAGTTATTTACTTGTTCTCGATGTTCTTGAAAAAAAAAAACGGTAACCGAGAAATAACAATCTATACGGTGGCTTAAAATCAATAGATAGCATTTATGAACTTTAGATGGCCGTAACTTAGGTTAAGATTGATCGATTCAATAACAAACGACAAAAGTGCTGTTTTTGTGTGAAATAGCTTGATTTAACGTCTGCTTCCACCAAAGTGATATCGCGGACAAAAATGTTTTTGTTAGAGTGCACGTTTAATATGACACCAATCCCAACCTTGATCTTATTTTACTCGGTCTAAATAGTATTAATACTAATCCTTATGTTTATTAATTATTGAGGCTAAATTATGACACGTAGAGGGAAGAGAAATATGTCAGTATCTATAATTGGTTGTAGAAAAAACATCATTATAAAGAGATGTGTTGCAAATTAATTAAATAAAACTTTAGACGGAAATGGTTCAATGACAAATTGCGCCAGGAAATGAAAACAATAAAAGTAGTTGTATTTTAGACAACTGATTAATGTAGAAAATTGCAAAATAAACCTGAAAACAAATATACATGTAATTTTTGATTACTTGGAAAAAACTAAAAGAAATTCAATTGATACAAAGACTTTCATTTACTGTTGAAACAAGTAAAGATAGGTTGCCAGGCAACGAAACATACGCCCACAGCAGCTATATCGTCCGGGCAGTCAACAAGAGTTGTCGCATATTTTTACTTTTTTCGGTAATGGAACATTTATAATACATTAAAATCTGATTAAGAGTAACAACTCATTAAGTAATTATCAGAAAACCATTAGAATTTGTTTGGTTTTTATAAAGTTTTTCCCCATGCTAACGTTTAGTATACAAAACTTTTAACATCATGGATTTAGCTGTTCAAGTCATAAAGATTCATTGAAAATCAATATACACTGTGTATCAATTTAAAGTCAATCGGATATTAACTTTAGCCTCTAGAGCGTCCACAAGATTTTTTGAAGTGATCAAGGGCCATAACTCAGGCAAAAATTATCGGAAATCGCTGAAAATCAATAGGATTCTTCGTCTCATGACCTTAAACACTGTGTATAAATTTAAAGTCAATCGGATATTAACTTTGACCTCTAGAGCGTCCATCAGATTTTTTGAAATGATCAAGGGCCAAAACTCTGGCAGTAATTATCAATTGTGGACGCCGGACCGACGGACGGACGAACGGACCGACGGACGGGGGCGACGACAATATACGACCACATTTCAATGTGGGCGTATAAAAATCACTTAATTGTTCCTTTAGCTATGAACTCCAAGGTGTCAATAATTTTCGGGATTTACATATATCGAGGAGTGGGAGAAACCCATTTAGACCCGTTTAAAAAGGAGATCCATCTTCTTGTCACGTAAAGTCACGACAGTAAAGTCATGGGTCGAACTCACATACTTTAAAATCGTTAGTCGAGCTCATGGGCTGCATAGATGACAAATCTGTGATCGGTAGGTCTTCCAAACCCGCAGTTGGTTTTCAACGAGAGGCAAACGTGTTTATACGGTAACAGACACGTAGAAACTGACAAGGAACGGTGTCTTGTCCTTCGGGTGGTACGAAAGGCCGAGATCCCGTATTTAGGCTGGATTGGCGTGCACGTAAAAGAACCGTTGACAGCTGGAATCATAAATAAGATGAGGCCGTAGCGCCGATGCCCTGGCAAAATTTCCATCCTAGTACACTGCATACTATGAACATTAATCCCGATTTCATTTCTTTTCACGTAGGATATTTTTGTTAACTTACCATTGATTAGAGCTGATCTTGGTTTATTATCACCGTCGTCATGGTGATGAGCTGCGAATTTTTGAATCGTCAATTCAACCAGCCAATCGTTGACCAGTATAGAATGCTCTGGTAGGTCGTAGTCATAGAGATGGGAGTGTGGGTCACTTTGGTGTGATTGACGAATTATCAAGGCTCCGAATATACCATCTGATCTTTGAACCCCAGAATGCGCATGCCAGAACATAGTTCCAGGTTGTTGTGGTTTGAACCTATACATATAATTAAAATACACATGTCAAGATGCAGAATGGTTTGAGAGTAGTTTTCTTGTCTTAAATAGGTCGAGGTTTGGCAATGGAAGTCACCACTCGGTTTGGTTTGGTTGTCAGCTTATAAAGAAAGTAAATTAAATCCACTCGGTCAATCAAAGAGACATTGTAAGGAATAAAAGAATTGTTTAAAGGACAATGTTGGTGTCAGTCATTATCACATATTTGATAGAACTGATTAAACACATTCCAGATATAATTTTAATACAAAGATCATTGCTACAATAGATGCGTAACGAAGATTTAAAGAAACAGGAATTTACGTGACGCAAAAATGGAAAACATGAGTTATCCTTATACATAACTAACTGAAGTATCGACCGATAACAGATATGCGGTTGAATTTCAGCTCATTCTTTTTTTTCTGCCCCCCAAACCTCCTGTACACACCCCCTGAAGATAGTGGGGGTTAAACTGAGGGCGATAATTTAGATTTCATTAAAAATCTTCATTATTTTCCCCCGTATAAACCTCATCGTTTTCGGGGTCGCTGAGTTCATTGGTGATGTTAAATTTAAGATTTGAAAATCCAAAATAGCGTAAATCCAAGATGGCTTCAATCTTTCAACAAATTTCAACGAGTTGATATTTTTTCAGTTGTTAGCGACCTGTCTAACACTTACCGTTACATTTTCTTGTCTATAAAACATTTTATGTGTACGTATCTACATACTCACCTTTATTTGTCTATATTCTCATCTATGTTTGTCTATATTCACACATATTTGTGCTTATTGTGTGCTTACAAACTAAAGAAATACCGTAATGACCTCGGCAAAACCCAAAGAACCTGCTCTTTGGTGCGAAAACAGTTACGGGGAGAATTGTATATAGAAACAGCTGGATTTGCTAGTGGACTCTTACCTTTCAAAAAGGATATCATAACTAATATGATGTATCTGATGATACCAACTAGGGCTGGTCAAAGTGCACGTTCTAAAAATAATGCAGCTCTAGTTTTGACATATGTGCTTTCAGAACACTGGTTATTTTGCAACGGATAGCATATACTAACATTACCAAACATATCAAAAAGAATATACTAACTCTCTACACAAGATTCCAAAATGTCACCCAAACGCGCCAGGCAAGGAAAAATGAAAAATATAAAAAGAATGTTAAACTATTTAACACTGAATATTCTCAACTGTTTGATATCTTTTGTGACGATACAGAGTTTAGAACGCACTTAGAAAGTTTTCATGGTGTGATAATGACCTCAGTCGAATTTGATTTCTTGGAAGATTAACGAGGTGAGTAGAAAATGGTATGTGAAAACTTCATTGATGAACAGTGGATGAAAACTGTGGAGACACTGGGGCATTGGCACACTGGAACCACACACTCAGAAAAGCCTGGCGCAATCCATCGGCTGTGTTTGGTCTCGGTACGACGTTATTATGTCTCCACTGAATTTCACGTCGATGGCGCGGGTTGAGGATCGGTCCAAAGTAAGGTCTACGGCAATGAATGTTCTCTCTGGTGAGACGTCGGCGCACTGTATCGGTACTGATGGTTCTTCCGTGTGTTCCCCGCTGTCTGACGTGCTGTCTCAGATGCCTGTGTGAAAAGATTCTGCACGTGCTGTCGCACAACATGGCGGTCCATTCGCCTTATGGTAACCCTTGGTCTACCAGTTCGGGGGTGATCATCCGTGGTGTTGGTGGCCCGAAAGCTTTGCTGAAGCCTGTAGATGGTCCGAACATTGATCTGGAAGTGATTGGCAACGGCTTTGGCAGTGTGGCCAGCGCTGAGTCTTCCAAGCGCCTGGTTCCTCTGCGCTCTCGTGAATCGTGACATGCTGCTGACGTTGTAGTGTGAATGATTCAACCAGGTACGGGGGTGCATTTTATAGGGCTGGTCCCGGTGAACAGCACGTGCAGCATGAGTTACATGAAAATCATGGAGAACACATTACCATCTTAGAAGTCAGGTTTCGTTTTTGAGAACATTTCCTGGGTTCAATTCTTGCTCAGGTAAAGTTGAAGATGTGGTCACAAATATACAATAAAAACATTTGGCAAATTTTATGCAATGCGTCTTTTCAGAGTAACATACCAACCTGACGTTTCTTTTGCTGCTTAGTATATATAAGGATAACTCGTGTTTTCCATTTTCTGCGCTACTTCCCGTTTCTTTAAATCCGCCTTACTCATCTACCGTAACAATGATCACTTTGTTAAAATTATATTTGGAATATGTTTAACCAGTTCTATCACATATGTAACACAAGCTGACACTAATATTGTGCTTTAATCAGGGACATGAATCGAAGCACATTTCGCGTCGTAGCTGCTAACGCAACAAGCTCAGGATTCCATATAGGTTATTTTTTTATTGTTTCAGAGTTAGCGGGGTTATTTTTATTGGGTTGGGTGTCACAATTTGACTAGATGCCTGTTCCTCGCTAAGAGCAATGATTACGTATTTATTTGACTATCTGTGTGGTAACTATTTAATAACACTATTTATATACTGGCCTACCATTCTACCATTTTACCTGCAAACCATAGTGTGGTTAACGTAACTAAATAAAAGTCCTGGTGAATGTCGCTATCACAGATACACTGTCTTACCTATAGGTAAAGGAAGTATGAGCAGGTATTGGACATTGTGTTATCATAGACACACCGTCCATGTAAGGTGTTTCTTTCTGTAAGACGCCATGCCAGTGGATTGTTGTGGCTTCAGCCCCTGCTAGTTTATTGGTTACTTTGACAACAATAGTGTCATTTTTACACACCTGTAAGATACATGTTTCATAGACTTATTAAAACACGTTTTAATCTTTCAGATGACCAATTACTACAGTACTTTAGCTCCTTTAAAACAAAACTGACACGGTTTCCTTATCCGGTCTCGAATTTTAGATACGGACTATACTTACATGTATACCTGGACCTGGTAACATTCTGTTGGCTACCAGAACAGGTCTAGAAACTCCATCACCAGCTATGCAATGCCGCCGACTACAGTCACTGATATTAAATGGACAATCATAACAAGCTTTACTTAACGTATAATAATATTCTAAAGTAAAATGATAATTGCATATCATAGCATCCACACCGTCATCACATTCACGTTTACAGGGATGATCTTCGTAGTTGGGAACTACAAGATATAAACGATACAAATTAAATAAGTACAGATAATTCATAAATATGATCAATATCTAGATAAATACAGATAATTTATAAATATTATCAAAATTTAGATAAATACAGATAATTCATAAATATGATCAAAATCTGGATAAGTACAGATAATTCATCAATATTATTAAAATCTAGAGAAGTACAGATAATTCACAAATATGTCAAAACAGTTTAGAGAATATTTTTTTTAAAGACTATCATCAAAATCGGGATAAGTACGTCCGAGTATCAAAATAGACCATATAAAGATGGACTGGCTTGAACGGGACACCAAGATGGCGACATGAAATACGAAGAATCTTGTGTAAACTTTAGTTAAAACTGTGATCGAATTTAGTAAGAGTATTTTTGACTGTGTATAAATGGCCGTGCACGTAAAAGAAAGTTTGACAGTGGGAATTCAATTGCTGTAAGAGCAACATTTATCTCCAGGCACACTGAATGAGGTATGTCCGTCTTCATTATCCCGGTTGGGGAGAAAAGTACGACGTTAAACCTGATTTCATTCATTCGTTATAAATTATTGAACTATTATATTCTGATTTTATATGTTTAACTATCACCTTAACATAATACAACTTGTATAGTAGCTACGGCGAGTTGAAAAGGTTAAGACTTTATCAAACTGTGTACATATCAGATATTTAAATGAGAACACGATAAAAAATATGATATATCAATTATTTCGAAAGCCTTCTTCATGTTAGTCAACATGCCATTTTTGGTTACCAACTGATTCACGAAACTGAGATTTAAGTATACAGTGAACCATATCCTGCAAAAATTGAACATGCTTTGGTTGATGAATTAATAACAATATTATTACTTAAACACACAAATAGTATATAGTATGGATATAGATCTAATCACATTTACAATTATTTCAAAGACTAAATTACTTCTGTTATCTTATTCGTTTTGATGATTTTTTTTTAAAACACACCTGTTCGTACACCTTACATCTTTTTAACCTTTCTTTTTTAGCATTAATTGTTCAGCCTTATTACTGTTTTATTATTCACGTATCCCAGTTAAAGTCGGTTTAGCTATTACTTTATCAAATTAAAAAAGGATAATTAAACTGTCTAATATACCCTATATTTATCTCTTCACGCATCGTGTATTCCCAACTTTTACAGGCAGTTAGTTAAGTCAACATCAGAATTTGTGGTGGTATATACGTCTCTGAAAAATTTAGTTGTCCGTCCAGGTTATAAACGGTTTCAGTCTACGTATAATTGATAAAAAGGTTGTTTAATTTTCGTGAAATAACGGCGTTGCTTAATACTAATTCAGCAATATTAAGCAACCCACTTCTTAATTGCAGCCAAATTTTGCTTTGTATGATAGTCAAGATACATAAAAACTCTGGCCTCTTTACCTGGTAAATTATAAAACCGCTTTGTTAGATATAAATTAATATATAAAGTACTACTTACAGTCGTATTCAGCGTCTGTATATACCGTTAAAAACATAAACACCACCGCCATTATCATTAGCAATGACTTCATCTCGCCACGCTCGATCACTTCTTTTACACACACAGAAAACATACCAGACGTCTCGAATTTAAAAAGACACTTCTGGTTGTCTCAATTCGTCCGATGTTCAAACCTCTTGTCTGATCCTTAGAGTCAAATCATAGTAAAGGACTTGATTGCTCGAATGATTCCATTATCAACTGTAACAAGAAACAGAATCTCTTTGAATAGCTCGATAAAATTATCTTAAACTTATCCAAAGGTAAATAATATAATTTAACGGGTACTTCGACATCAGCGAATATTTCGTCTCGACAAAATAATAAATGTCGTTATTTATCACATCATGTTTGATAGTTCATCCATCGTAGCACAATCGTCACAAAGAACCACGTCTTCATCAGTTTCGATTGAATTTTCAATTATTGCGATCATTGATCCCAAATGAAAACATTGTCTAAGAGATTCAAATGCTCGGATTCACAAACCGGATCACCCTCAGACTAATATTCGTTGTAGTAAAAGCGGAAATATTTAGGTTCAATCAATGGGAACGGATTTAATTCAATGAGGAGTTCAGGCAATCAAAAATAGGGCATTTGTCCAACTTTTCATATCTCAAAGCTTTGAAAATAAACATGGTGATAGAGTTATACTCTAAAAAATAAAGTATTTACTTTAAGGAAAAGAAAAGAGACACAGTCTAACGCTTGGTCGGTTACTTTGATACTGACATACGGTTAATTGTTTACACTATGGTCAATACTAGAGACTTTTGCATGCCTTTCAGTTCCTTCTTTCAAGGGTATGTGACAAAAGCCCAAGGCCGACTACGCCGAGATTGATTGATTCATACTTGAGACAAGTTAATCGAGAGTCTGGTGTCCTGACCGTTCTACTCCCCCAACCCTACCCAATAAAAGATGAATTAAAACAAAAACACAAATGTAATTAAATTCATACAATATCATAATTAAAGTAACTGTAGACTTAAAGCATTGTTCAGTGACGAATTGGCATACCTGTCTCAAATTTACAAATCACGGCATTTTCTCTACCAACCCATAATTCTATACGACATGACATAACTAAAATCAAAAGCAATAAAATAGTTACGTTCAGTGGGGTTTTGGTGGCCGGTGGTTGAGTTGGTTATCCACGGGTTTTCCCACTTCTAAAGGTCCCTGCGTGAAGCAAATTATTGAAACAATGCTTAGTCCCGAAACAATCGCTCTCTCTCTCTCTCTCTCTCTCTCTCTCCCTGTGTCTGTCTGTCTGTCTCTCTGCCTCTCTCTCTCGCTCATTCTCAAATATGTTTTGGAACGATATAAATACCCGATCTTAAACAGGGTGGTGGAAACATTACATTGTAGAAGTTACGATAAAATCCATGTTTTCGCCAAGAAACAATTCAAAGGACAATTTATAAATCATTTGCGTTTGTAAAGCATCTGTACAGTTGGATTTCGTACAGAATATTAACATAGGTTAAATCAAATTCAAAAATGTTTTGGTTAACCAAAAACCTACCAGAACCAAATTCTATAGTTAAAACTATGAACATGTTCTCTGAAATTTATAGAGCAATACTACTTGGAATACCACCCAACCACTCCTACACGTTACTTCCACGTAAAGTCAGTAAATTACAGTTTTCTGGGGGAGTTATGGTATTCGTGTTTCATATTTCGGATAACTTTCGTAAACTGCACTTGAGTAAATAAATAAATGAAATTAAATATTCAATCTGAATCAGACCTTTTCTCATTATTCACTGTAGTAGGCATAGGTAAGTTTATGGGATGGGATATGAAATGCTGGCAGGCAGTAAAAACTTTAAAACTTTGTTGAATGAACCATTTTAAAATAAATCATTGTAACTACTTTCTAAATTAAAGAACATTTCATTAAATGGACTAATCGTTTTGTTTTCATGAAATCAGCTCCTTAATAACAATTTACAACAAAGAACAGAAACAAAATCAAAGTAAAATTTAAATTTTATTTCAAAAGGTTGTCGTACATAATAATCATTTAATATATTTAATCTTTCCAAATATACAGTTTCCGTACATTTAAATTGACGCAAGATTCACTTAATTGATAATAACAAGTAAAGCGGTAAAGTCAAAACCCATACAACATAGTGTCCAGAAGGTCACTAAGCAGACAACGACAGGCAGTGTGAAGTTAGCTCGATTTTCGTTTTTCGTTTTTCGATATTGGTGAATAACGAAAAACGAGCTACTCGTTTTTCGATATTGGCGAATAACGAAAAACAACTAGCTCGTTTTTCGATATTGGCGAATGTCGAAAAACGAGCCACTCGTTTTTCGATATTCAAATTTGAATCTCAAAAAAGTAGATTTAATGGATGTACATCGACAGAATGTCTCCAAAACACATTTGATTAAATCAGTTTTGTAAAACGAACTAAATATATCGTTTTAGAGGATGCCTGAGCAGTGGATTCACATAAAAACCTCTTTCTTCTTGTTTTTTGATACTGGCAAATTCAAACTTGAACCTCAAGAAAGCAAATTTAATGGAATTACAGAATATCTCCAAAACACATTTGATTAAATCAGTTTTGTAAAACGAACTAAAGATATCATTAATGAGGATGCCTGAACAGTGGATTCACATAAAAACTACTCTTCTACCTGTTTTTCGATATTCAGTCTTGAATCTCAAAAAAGCAGATTTGATGGATGTAAGTCTACAGAATTTCTCCAAAACACATTTGATTAAATACGTTTTCTAAAAACTAAATATATCATAAATGAGGATGCCTGAGCAGTGGATTCACATAAAACTGATATTCAAGCCTGAATATGGAATTTTTACGAGATTCGCCAATATCAAAAACAAGGAGAAAGAGCAGTTTTTATGTGAATCCACTGCTCAGGCATCCTCTATTACAATGTATTAAGTTCGTTTTACAAAACTGATTTAATCAAATGTGTTTAGGAGACATTCGGTCGATGTCCATCTATAAAATCTACTTTTTTGAGATTCAAGTTTGAATCTCAAAAAAGTTGATTCGCCAATATCAAAAAACAAGGAGAAATATCAGTTTTATGTGAATCCACTGCTCAGGCATCCCCATTTCTGATATTTTTAGTTCGTTTTTGAATACTTATATAACCAAATGTGTTTTGGAGACATTCTATAGATATACATGATTAAAATCTGTATTTTTGACATTCAAGCCTGAATATCGAAAAACGAGTAGCTCGTTTTTCGAGATTCGCCAATATCAAAAAACAAGTAGAAATAGCAGTTTTTATGTGAATACACAGCTCAGACATCCTCTATTACGATATATTTAGTTCGTTTTACAAAACTGGTTTAATCAAATGTGTTTTGGAGACATTCTATCGATGTACATCCATTAAATCTACTTTTTTGAGATTCAAGTTTGAATATCGAAAAACAAGTAGCTCGTTTTTCGAGATTCGCCAATATCAAAAAAACAAGGAGAAAGAGCAGTTTTATGTGAATCCACTGCTCAGGCATCCTAATTAATGATATATTTAGTTCGTTTTAGAATACTTATATAATCAAGTGTGTTTTGGAGACATTCGGTAGATATACATGATTAAAATTTTTGTATTTTTGACATTCAAGCCTGAATATCGAAAAACGAGTAGCTCGTTTTTCGAGATTCGCCAATATCAAAAAACAAGGAGAAAGAGCAGTTTTTATGTGAATACCCTGCTCAGGCATCCTCTATTACGATATATTTAGTTCGTTTTACAAAACTGATTTAATCAAATGTGTTTTGGAGACATTCTGTCGATGTACATCCATTAAATCTACTTTTTTGAGATTCAAGTTTGAATATCGAAAAACGAGTGGCTCGTTTTTCGAGATTCGCCAATATCAAAAAACAAGAAAAATATCAGTTTTATGTGAATCCACTGCTCAGGCATCCTCATTTATGATATCTTTAGTTCGTTTTAGGAAACGTATTTAATCAAATGTGTTTTGGAGAAATTCTGTAGATTTATAACCATCAAATCTGCTTTTTTGAGATTCAAGTTTGAATATTGAAAAACGAGTAGCTCGTTTTTCGAGATTCGCCAATATCAAAAAAAAAAATTAGAAAGATCAGTTTTTATGTGAATACACTGCTCAAGCATCCTCTATTACGATATATTTAGTTCGTTTTACAAAACTGATTTAATCAAATGTGTTTTGGAGACATTCTGTCTATGTACATCCATTAAATCTACTTTTTTGAGATTCAAGTTTGAATATCGAAAAACGATTAGCTCGTTTTTCTAGATTCGCCAATATCAAAAAACAAGGAGAAATATCAGTTTTATGTGAATCCACTGCTCAGGCATCCTCATTTATGATATCTTTAGTTCATTTTAGAAAACGTATTTAATCAAATGTGTTTTGGAGAAATTCTGTAGATATACAACCATCAAATCTGCTGTTTTGAGATTCAAGTTTGAATATCGAAAACGTTTTCGCCAATATCAAAAAACAAGGAGAAAGAGCAGTTTTTATGTGAATACACTGCTCAGGCATCCTCTATTACGATATATTTAGTTCGTTTTACAAAACTAATTTAATCAAATGTATTTTGGAGACATTCTGTCGAAAGTACAGCCATTAAATCTACTTTTTTGAGATTCTTGTTTGAATATCGAAAAACGAGTAGCTCGTTTTTCGAGATTCGACAATATAAAAAAAAAACAACAAGAAGATATATCAGTTTTATGTGAATCCACTGCTCAGGCATCCTCATTTATGATATCTTTAGTTCGTTTTAGAAAACGTATTTAATCAAATGTGTTTTGGAGAAATTTTGTAGATTTATAACCATCAAATCTGCTTTTTTGAGATTCAAGTTTAAATATCGCAAAACGAGTAGCTTGTATTTCGAGATTCGCCAATATAAAAAACCAAGGAGAAAGAGCAGTTTTTACGATATACGATATATTTAGTTCTTTTTACAAAACTGATTTAATCAAATGTGTTATGGGGACATTCTGTCGATGTACATCCATTAAATCTACTTTTTTGAGATTCAAGTTTGAATATCGAAAAACGATTAGCTAGTTTTTCGAGATTCGCCAATATCAAAAAACAAGGAGAAATATCAGTTTTATGTGAATCCACTGCTCAGGCATCCTCATTTATAATATCTTTAGTTCGTTTTAGAAAACGTATTTAATCAAATGTATTTTGGAGAAATTCTGTAGATATACAACCATCAAATCTGCTTTTTTGAGATTCAAGTTTGAATATCGAAAAACGAGTAGCTCGTTTTTCGAGATTCGCCAATATCAAAAAACAAGTAGAAAGAGCAGTTTTTATGTGAATACACAGCTCAGGCATCCTCTATTACGATATATTTAGTTCGTTTTACAAAACTGGTTTAATCAAATGTGTTTTGGAGACATTCTATCGATGTACATCCATTAAATCTACTTTTTTGAGATTCAAGTTTGAATATCGAAAAACAAGTAGCTCGTTTTTCACGATTCGCCAATATAAAAAAAACAAGGAGAAATATCAGGTTTATGTGAATCCCCTGGCTACACGTTTTTCGAGATTCGCCAATATCAAAAAAAAAAGTAGAAAGATCAGTTTTTATGTGATTACACTGCTCAAGCATCCTCTATTACGATATATTTAGTTCGTTTTACAAAACTGATTTAATCAAATGTGTTTTGGAGACATTCTGTCTATGTACATCCATTAAATCTACTTTTTTGAGATTCAAGTTTGAATATCGAAAAACGATTAGCTCGTTTTTCTAGATTCGCCAATATCAAAAAACAAGGAGAAATATCAGTTTTATGTGAATCCACTGCTCAGGCATCCTCATTTATGATATCTTTAGTTCATTTTAGAAAACGTATTTAATCAAATGTGTTTTGGAGAAATTCTGTAGATATACAACCATCAAATCTGCTGTTTTGAGATTCAAGTTTGAATATCGAAAACGTTTTCGCCAATATCAAAAAACAAGGAGAAAGAGCAGTTTTTATGTGAATACACTGCTCAGGCATCCTCTATTACGATATATTTAGTTCGTTTTACAAAACTAATTTAATCAAATGTATTT